TCACCTCAGCCTCCCAAAGGCGCGGGATTACAGGCTGAGCCACCGAGCCCGGCTTCTGAGGACTATTTCATCCAGAGAAACAAAAAAAAGTCACTTGGGATGAGATCAGGTGAATAGGGAGGATGGGACACGGGGTCATACTGTTCTTAATCAAAAACTACTGAACACTCAGCATGGTGTGGGCAGATGCATTGTCATGGTGGAAGAACCAGTCCCCTGTTTGTCACAACTCGGAATGTTTCTTCTGCAAATCATGACACAACTTTCTCAAAAATGCCAGATAAAAACTTTGGTTGACCGTTTGTTCTGGAGGAGCAAATTCCAAGTGCACGACAAGGGCCTGCCATCTAAAAGATAATTCCTGGGTGTTTTTTTTGGGGGGGGGTGTCTCCTCTCATATATATTATTGTTAACTATAGTCATCTTGCAGCGTCATAAAATACTAGAACTTATTCCTCCTGTCTGGCTGTAATTTGGTATCTCATAGGATTTTTTTGAAAATTTGTTTTTGCATAGCAGAGGAGACACCTCTTGCCATTCCAGGGCTTGCTCTTTACTGTGTAGGGGCATTGTGTAGGTACTGTGAAGACTTGACTCGAATACGTGTCTTGTAAAAGCTGTGTGTGAGCAGAATATTTTGGCAATTGTGACATGTTTTTGATGATACACCTTTAATTCTGTTAGTAATTATGCTACAGAGTAAAAAGTAAAGTGGGAAAAACTCACTGCAAGCTTTTATGTCAAGCTCCTTCATGTGTGTATACCAAGAAGATAAGGTTAAAGGCCTGCCATGGATAATGAATAGTATTGCTTTTGCCCTCTGTGCCCCTTCTTCCCAATTGAGTTTTAGGGCTGATATCCATGTTCATCAGGCAATAATACCACTAAGAGACTGACTCCATTCGGAAACCTGTTGCTGCCTGTGTTGCTGGGATGCTGCTGAGGACATTGTCCATCACAGCATCCTATGAAGGCCCTCAAGAGGAATCTCTTTTAAAGCTAAGTACCAACCTAAGGGACTATTTTCCCCCTTCATGTGTAAAAAAAAGAGGGAGATAAAATAATGTGTTTTCCATTTTGCTTTTGCTGATAAGACTATAAGCTCTGATGACCTGCTTACTCATAGGCTGTTTTTCTCTGGATCACTATTTCCTGCTCCTTTTCTTCTTTAGTCCTAATAATATTGTTATTTCCTGTCTTGATCTTTTCCAATAAATCACCTGGAATCCACTTTTAAAATCAGATAGTGGACAAATAAAGACCACAGTTAACTGTGTCTTATAAGCACAATTAGCACAGTTCTGAAGCCATAGCCTAAGATCTAAGCAAGCTGAAAGAGCTTTCCAAATACATTTATTGTTATCTGAATTTCTCTTTCTTACACTGTTTCATTTGCAAAGCAAATCAGGTATTCAGTCCTCCTTCGGAAGTTGTACAAATGTGTGGGAAAATGATTACGAAGAGGCTACTTCAAAAAGAAGTTGTTTCCTCTCAGCATTTATCTTGGGCTTCCTGTGACCCAATCTTCAAGTTACTTTTATCAATGTTAACATCAGATTGTCTTACCCCAACACGTTTATGGCTATGACTAAAGAATATGACAGATCAGACATTCTTCTACACCTGCTTCCCTCCCCCATCCCTTTTTAGAGGGCTGGGGAAATTTTAGTTTTGAATCAAAGGCTTTATTTCTCCAGTTGAACACAGGAATTTAGCTGGGACTTTACAACTGAATAAAATATTTCTCAGAGTTGATACCAATCTTAGCAAGAGGATATTGCCTAACCCAGCCTAAAAGTACCATAGTCATTACAGAAATATTGTATTGGCTTTGATTTCTACGCTACCATGAGTTGTGCACTCAGTAGTCAGGTAGCCCATGATGTTGTATATGTACACCCCTTCTATTATTTACTGCGTACCTGCTCTGTGCTGAGAGAAATGTCCTTGCAGAATTCACAGCCTCTCTCAGAAGGGAGAGGTGGCCACATACATGGAAAGGGCTGTAATAAAGGAGGGGGAATGGTGAACTGTCCGCTACGGTACTCTTCTCTTACAGCTAGCATGGTACCTAGTAGGTCTGCCTGATAGGGGGAAGGAGGAGGCCAGAAAAGGCTTTGTCTCAGGGGAAGTGCTGTTTGAGGTTTTAAAGCAACTCAACAAGTAGAAAAAGGCATTCCGGGAGTAATGTGAGTTTGGATGTCATGTGCACTGCTTGAAGTAGGGAAAGGAGTGGGGGTAAATGAGCCTGAAAAGACCAGGATCCTGTTGTGAAAGATTTTTCTTGAAGCAGTGGGAAGCCACAGCAGGATTTTAAGTGGGTCACTCACATGGTGTTTTCGAAAAACAACTGCTGGAAAGATTGTGAAGAATTGGGTGGGAGGGAGCAAGACATCGCAGTTGGGAGAGCAGATGATGTACACACCAGCGTCCTGGAGGCTGAAATGGTCATCAGCCAGAGGAGCAAACCTCCCTCTCTTCTCAGCTGTTTCTCTTGCACTCATGACTGGTATAGACTGAGGGAGCAAATGTAGCTTCACTCACGTTTGCCTTGTAAGTATCCAGGTGTGCAGTGGGCACACAAAACATCAAAACATACTTTTGTTTGGTTTAACCCTGGCTGATAGGAAGCCAGAAGGAGAAGACAGCTTCGAGACTGAAAGCTGGGCTAGGCAGAAGTTGACAGGAAGGATGGATTAGCAAAAAAGAACTTTAGAGAACCGAAGAGAGAGTCGGTACTTAGGGCAAATGACCAGTCCAAGAGATGAAGGGCCTGACAGCTAACTAGGGGATTTCAGAGCTCCACCTGGGAATGGAACTCATTGATACATTGAGCCTGGAAGTCAGCAAGAAATCGGTCCCAAGACCGAAGTGCCTGCCTTGTCCTCGTGGAAGCTAGGAGGAGCAGAGAAGCTAGCCTTGGGTACTGATAGGCTGTGCCTTGCTCCCTAAGAAAGCTGGGCACTTTTCTTTGCCTTGAGAGTCCCCATCCTCAGGTGATTTGGGCACCTTCAGAGACTGACAAAGAGGACACACGGAGGAAGGTAAAGAAAGACTGAGAACAGGGCCAATGACAGGGACAGACCACGAGCAACAAGAGAAGTCCTGTTACAAATTGGTTTTAGAGACCAGCATGCCTAATTTTAACCCAACAGTGACTCAATAAAAGACACACTCGTACAGCCATAAATCTGAGCCAAATGTGTTTTTTAAAATTAATTTATCCAGTAAGTATTTACTACCTCCTAGACGTCCGTTACAGATAATCTACTCATGGGCAAAAGGTGGTGATAGCTGGTAGGCGGAGAGAAAGTTCAGCCTTTGCTGTCAATGTCACACATTCCATGCACAGACAAAAGGCATGTCCCATGAAGCAGGCACTGGCTGTGACTAATTACACTTCCTAAATAAATGTGCCCAAATGAAAAAATCTTTCACTCAATCCTGAAGACTTCTCACTCTCTTTTTTTAGAAACTGTATATCACCCTCAATATATGTTTGTCTCATTCTCTTAGTAAATTCAGAAGCTTGTTTTAGGGCATTTTGTCCTGAGTCCAGGACTACATGTCTGGAAGTAAATAGGAATGCTAGTTACATCTTGACTGTTGAAGCTTATGGCAGACTTGCCATGGCCTGTTCTATGTCTTTCTGGCAGCTTTTCCTTTACCATCCTGGCCTCAGACACAAACTATAACCCACAACTCATATCCTGTGGCAGACTACAGCTCACATTAGCCATTGAATGCAAATGAGTCTCAATCAAAGAAGAAAGGAAGTTAGAACTGTCAGTGTGTATCCTCTCCGATTGGCCTTAGAAGCCTCCATGACTCTCTTAGTTGCTTATTGCCCTTGGCATGTGGGTATTTTATGTGGGCAGGGTGAAACTGGCTGTGGTCAGGGTGAGAATTTAAGCTTTTGATTTGTTCCCTTATTTTGAAAGGATTAAAAAGATGTAACATATTTTGGTGTAATTTTAGTACTAGTATTAATTTTTGTCACATATGGGTAAGCGAGGATGAAAAGAGAGTGCTCAATCACTGTTACTAGATCCATGTTGCAGAGAACAAGCCTTCAAAAGGCAGGTTTCGATGACTTGACACTTGTTTTTGTTTTTTTCCCTTTTAAATTTCTTTTAAATAACAACTTCGTTGAGATATTACTCACATACTATAAAATCCATCCTTTTAAAGTGTACAATTCAGTGGTTTTTCATATATCCATAGGCTTGTGCAGCCGTTACCACTATCTAATATTAGAACATTTTCATCAGCACTCCACTCCACCATCAGTCACTCTCCATTCCTCCATTTCCCCCCAGCCTCTAGCAACCAATGTTCATTTTTGCCTCTGTGGCTTTTCCTATTCTGGATAATTCACAAAAATAGAATCATACCATATATGGCCTTCTGTAGCTGGCTTCCTTCACTTAGCATAATGTTTAAGTTTCAATCATGGAACCTCAGAACTTCAGTTCTTTTTATTGCCAAACAATATTCCATTGTATAGATATACCACATTTTGTTTATTCATCAACTGACTGACATTTTGGTTGCTTCTACTTTTTTGCTATTATGAGTAATGTTGCTGTGAACTTTTGTGTGGAGGTTTTTGTGTGGACATATGTTTCCAGCTCCCTTGGGTATATACCTAGGATTGGAATTGCTGAGTCATAAACTATATTTAACCTTTTGAGGATCTGTCAGACTGTTTTCCGAAGTGGCTGTACCATTTTCCAATCACACCAGCAATGTCTAGGAGGCTCCCAATTTTTCCACCTCTCCACCACGACTTATTATTGTCTCTTTGATTTGATTTCTTCTTTAATTTTTTAAAAAACATCATTCACACACATGGTAACTAACACACACACACATACACACACACACACACACACACACACACACACACACACACACACACACACGGAATTCTAATGGAAAACCAAGTCTCCAACCCTGCTTCACCCCTCCTTAATCTAAGTCCTATTCCTAGCAAATCATATTCCCTTTTTTATTTTTATTTTTTCTAGTGACTGCCTTCATAATTCCAAAGATTTCTCGATTTCTTCATTGTTAGTGTTTTTATTATGAAAACTTGATGTGAGCAGGGTGACTATTTCAAAAATAAAGTTATGTATAAAAGCAGAATAGTACAATCCACCTCTCTGCACCCATTCCTGCCACAACAATCGTCAACTCATGACCACTTTTTCCAGCATTTTTTGTTTTATCAGCTTTAGATATTATGTACTGATTTCTCTATTGGAAAATGAGAGTTTACCTAATTTATACTATCACTTCCAAATTTTTATAGTAAATTATTTTTAGTTCTTCTATTACCTTTGCAATTTTGAATACATACCTACATCTATTGTTTCACCAACCTTAGTATTGTTTCACTGACCCGTTGTCCATGTAAGATGGAGATATTAGTATCCTACTTCTCTTTCTTTACTTCTGCTATTACCTCCCAGCCACCTTCAGCTATATCTTAACATTGTCAGGTGGATAGCATTTACAGTCTGTTCTCTAACCATAATTCAGTCTTCTGTGCTTTGTCTAATGGCCGGTTCTAAGACTTGAGAATCAAGAGAATTTAATTATTGTGACTTTATATATTGTTCACTGCAGAGCCATGTAGTATGTGAAAATTACTTATTTTTTCTACAGACTTAATGTCACAATCCTGTGCCAATGGGAGAAGAATATTCTAAGCACCCAGTTGACACCTTTTCTTTTCAGAAGCATACGATAGTCAGTAGCACTCATGGACTCAAGTTCTCTTATTTATCAGTTACATCTTATATGGCCTTGTATTCTTTAATTACTCTGCATTATATCCTCCACTAGAGAGGGCACTCCTTGAGAGGGAAGTGGTCTTTCCTATTTTGCTCCCACTGACTTTATAGTCTCTCGGTAATTTAAACTGATTTCTCTAAAAGTTGCAAACCATAACTTAATTTGTCAAGTAAACAGAAACAATACCATTAAATGCCATTGCTGTTAGATTCTATATAGTTTATTTTATGATGAGTTATAAATATATAAATATTTCAAAAATAAAGCTATTAAAAACATAAATTAATATTCAGCTTTAACACTTTGAATATTTCTCTTTCATGATCATCTTTAGCCTTTTTAAGAAGTCTTCCAACGTACTCTTCCTGGCTTCATTCACAGGACAGTAACTCTACAAAAGAAACACGTCATTAGCTTGCATTGGTAAGCAGTTGAGATTTGCTATCATGTTTCTACTTGATCAAGGCTACTCTGGCACTTGCCACCCAAACAGTGATCAAATCAGGGCCTCCAGTCTAACTTGATTGGGAGTCTGACTCTGTTCAGCCTGTTTTGGGTACATAGTACCTACACTTCTAAAAATGATTACTCTCGCACCATTACCTATCTGCGCCCAGGGAGTGCCACAGCCTCTGGAGCCGTGTGTCACAGCAGGGTGCTGGCAGAGGGTTCAGGCTCAGACCTGCCCACTGCCCTACTGGGCCTTCTGCATGACTGCCTGGACTGCTGAGGAGGTTCAGACATGTCGTCCTCCTGTCCATTAAACAGCACCACACAACACAGTGGCCCAAAAGGATCCAGACACCAACCACCAGGATGCTGCTTCAGTTTGCATCTCAGCTCTACCATATATTAACTGCATTGCTTGGGACAAACTACATAATTTCTAAAGCTTCAGTTTTCTCTTTTGTAAAGTAGGGACAGTAGTTTGCCTACTCTCCTACTTCACAGGATAATTAAGAGAATGAAAAGAGAGAATGTGTGTTGGTCAAGTGCCTATTCCATTTTTACCTTATAATAAGGCATTAGGTCCAGGGAGGGGATGAATGTCCTTGTTCTTTTCTAAAGCCAATTCCTCCACTTGATATTAGATAACATCCACTCTTGGCTGCAAGGATTCTGCCCTCTAATTATGTCTCTGGGTTTTTGTTTGTTTGTTTGTTTGTTTGTTTGTTTGTTTTTGAGTTGGTGTTTCACTCTGTCGCCCAGGCTGGAGTGCAATGGCACACTCACGGTCACCACAGCCTCGAACTGCTGGGCTCTGGCGATTCTTCCACCTCAGCCTTCCAAGTAGCTGGAACTACAGGCACATGCCACCACACAGAGCTAATGTTTTTTTAATTGTAGAGACAAGGTCTCGTCAAGTTGCCCAGGCTGATCTTGAACCCCTGGGTTCAGGCAATCCTCTCACCTCCCAAAATGCTGGGATTACAGACTTGAGCCACCACACCTAACCTGTTCCTACTTTTTCTATATCATCAGTTCTCTCTTCTCCACTGGATCATTCCCACTGTTATATTAACAGGCTGAATACATACCACACCTTACACCTCAGCATTCATCTAACTTGACCCTTCAGTACATTCAACACAGTTGATCACTTCCTCCTTAAAAATGTTTCTCCACTTGCCTCCTTCAATTTTCTCCTACTTCACTGGCTGCTACTTCTCAGTCTCCTTTGCTGGATCCTCCTCTTCCTAACTACATATATTGGAGTGCGTCCAGGCTCAGTCCTTGAATTTCTCCCTTTCACTGCCATTCAGACTTTAAATAGCATCAGGCCAGGTGTGGTGGCTCACTCCTGTAATCCCAGCACTTTGGGAGGTTGAGGCAAGAGGATTACCTGAGCCCAGGGGTTAGAGATGAGCCAAGATGAGGAGCTTGGCCTCTATAAGAAGTCAAAAAATTAGCCAGGCATGATGGTGCAAGCTTGTGGTTCCAGCTACTTGGAAGGCTGAGGTAGAAGGATCACCAGGGTCCAGCAGGTTGAGGCTGCCATAGCTGTGACTGTGCCACTGCACTCTAGCATAGGCGACTTAAGAGTCTGACGTTAAAAAAAAAAAAAATCTCATCTATCTGAGGATTCTCCATTTTTTATTGCAAGTTCTGACTTCTCTCCTAAGTTTCAGACTTTTCTAAGCATCTTCTCAACGTGTTCACTTGGCTATTCAATGGGTGCCTCACATTTGCTGCGGATGAAATTGAACTCTTGCTCTTCCACTCAGCCTCCAGCCCTTCTTTGCCCCTAGTCGTCCATATCTCTGTAAATAGTACTGATCATCCCCAAAGGGGATCAGGCAGGAACAAAGAGCCCACCTTTTACTCCTCCATTTCTTACCCCTCACAACCAATCTTTCAGAAAATCCTTGCAGCTCTATTTCTAGTTATATCCCAAATCTAACCACCCATGTTGCTCCCACCCTGTCCAATCCACCATCATCTCTAGACTGAGTTTACTATGGTAGCCTCCCAACAGGCCAACTTGCTTCTATGCTTTACTACACAGAAGCCAGAGTGATCATTGCTTTTTTTTTTTTTTTTTTGAGTCAGAGTATCACTCTGTCACCCAGGCTAGAGTGCAGTGGCACAATCACGGCTTACCCCATCCTTGAAATCCTGGGCTCAGGTGATCCTTATGCCTCAACCTCCTGAGTAGCTGGGACTACAGGTACACGCCACCATGCCTGGCTAATTTTTTTATTTTTTGAAAAGACAAGGTCTTGCTTTGTTGCCTAGGCTGCTCTTGAACCCCTGGACTCAAGCTATTCTCTTACCTCAACCTCCCAAAGAGCTGGGATTACAGGCATGAGCCACTGCACCTAGCCCAGAGTGATCATTTCAAATTGCACATATCAGGTCATATAGTCTTTGCCCTGCTCAAAACTCTGCAGGTGTTTCTCACCATACTTGGAGCAGAATTTAAAGGCCTTATATGATCTGGTCTCCTGCGAAACTTCCCCTTGCTCACCCTGATCCAGCCACACTGGCCTTTCTACTGATCTTGGAACACACAAAGCTCATTTCCACCTTGGGGCCTTTGCACAGCTGTTCTTTTTGCATGGAATGTCCTTTCTCCAGTTAGTCATGTGGCCTGCTCCCTCACTTAAGTCAAATACCTGCTCAGATTATGTCACCAAATCCTAAACCAGCCTCCTCCTCAGTGATGCTTATGTTCCTTACTCCTATATTTTCCTTCATAGCACTTATCGCTACTGGACATATTACACATGTGTTTTTCTAACGCCCCCAGTAGAACATTCCATGAGAGCAAGGGCTCTGCCTAGTCATCTTTGATGCTTCATCCCCTGCGCCTAGAACAGCAACTGGCACTGCAGAGCCTCAACAAATACTTGAATGAATGAGTGGGTTGACTACTCAAGGGTGCTGCAACTCATAAGGAGGAACATTTGGAGTGAGGCTGCTGTCCACCGAGAGCCGTGCCGTCAGCTTCCGGTAATGCAGTGCAGCTCACCAAGTTTGCCATGCTATAGAGGTTCCTGTCGAGTCCTTTCAGGAATTTGGTCAAAGGCTTGTGGTGACCGTGGGCTCCCCTGCAGAGGGATCTCTTCTCGGGGTGACTGTAGAACTGCCGAAGCACAGTCGCAGCCCTGCAGAAGGTCTCTTTCTCTGTTGTACTCTAGAAAGAGAAATGCCACAGAGAACCACATGCTAGCTCTATTCTGAACACAGGAGAGGCATTTTCCTCTCGATTTCTTCTTTCCAGGAGGACAGAGGGAAAAGGTGAGTTTGCTCATGACAGGTTCATATTAAAGTGTTCCACTGAATGAGGGTTGCTCAGCATGGCAACCCTCTCCCCATTACCTGCAGATGCAGCAACCTTCTCCGCAGAACCTCTCAGTTTCTTTTCCCTTGGAGTGTTTTGCTGAAGGGGTACCCGAGTAAAGTCACCCCACTAGGTATATGGTAGAGTGGGGACTAGAATACAGCCCATGTGTGTGTCTTTACACCACACAAGCTATTCTCTCTGTGGAAAGTGCCCACATGAGCACTTAGATTCCACTCTCGTTCCTACAAGATTTTAAAATCCAGCTTTCAGCCGGCCTCAGTGGCTCAGCCTGTAATCCCGCACTTTTGGGAGGCTGAGGTGAGTGGATTGCCTGAGCCCGCGGGTTCAAGACCCACCTGGGCAGCGAGACCTCATCTCTACAATAAATCAAAAAATCAGCCGGGCGTGGTAGCACATGCCTGTAATTCCGGCTACTTGGAAGGCTGAGGCGGAAGGATGGCTGGAGCCCAGCAGGTCGAGGCTGCGGTGGCCGGGAGTGGCCACTGCACTCCAGTCTGGGTGACAGAGTGCGACTCCAACTCAAAAAATAAAATAAAATAAAATAAAATCCAGCTCTCCCTGGAATTCCACATGCTTGTTAAACAAATGAACTCCCATCCTTTGGTCTGGACATGGCTGCTTTGGGTAGCACTCCATTTGGCCCTCCCCATGGGAGACAACGAAGCATGCAGAAGTTCATGGTCCAAGTGAGGAGAAAAGACATCTCCTCATACATACAGCAGAAGGAAGTGCCCAGAGCAGAACAAGGTGTCCCAGGAGTCTGGCCTGGGGAGAGCAGGGGAGGCTTCTGGGAGAAGGTACCATTGAGCTGGGCATTGGACAGCTTCTAGCTTCTGTAAGGGGTCTTTGGCTTCAAATGGTGCAGTCAGAGCCTCCTTGGAATGTTGACAATTCTGATGTGGGTCTGGCCACATGGCTCTTCCTGAGGACATTGGCCTGAGGAGAGGGAGCATACTACCAGGGAAACAGCTCTTCTTGGGAACCTGGGAGAGGGATTGTGTCTCAGTCTAAACCAGGCCTGGTATGTCCTCCCATTTTCTACTGAGGAACAAAGGCACAGAACCCGGAGCATGGTCTTACTTAGCTTGGGCCCAGTTCAGATTTAAAAAGCAATCTCTAGTCTCTGCTAGAACATGCTCTGGTCTCCTGCTACTCCAAGTATGACCCATGGACCAGCAGCAGGAACATCACTTGGGAGCAGAATCTTCTCCCCCTCCCCCGCTGAATCAATGTGCAGTGACTTATGTGAGAAGTGATGACCATGCAGATTTTAAGTTCTTACAGTTATATATTTTGTCTGATTATCAAGGTAATATATGTTTACTATAAAGGTAACGTATATTCAACAAAAATGGAATTTACACATCCCACCAGCCCAAGAAAACTATTGTTAATATTTTGGTAGTATCGTTCCACTTTTTTAATCCTTTTTTTCAAAACAGGGATCAACTGTTTTTGTAGCTTTTTTACGCTTAACATAGACTACAAGCATTTTCTTAAGTCATTCAGTAGTATGTAAGAACATGGGATTGAGAGCTGCATAGAAAGTCATTGCATAGTTATACCATCATTTACCGATTCCCTATCATTGCATTCTTTTGCTTCTGTAAATAATGAAGAAGTGAGTAGTCTACATAAATCTTCATGTTCATCTCTTATTCGTGCAGGCTAAATTCTAGAAATGCAGTTTATATTTTAGGGTTTTTTCGGGAATATCTAGACCCAGACTGAAGCACCAGGATCCCAGACTTCAGAGGTTTCCCCTGTTCCTCTGTGGGGCTTGATGTCCCATGGGTGGGACCGTTGGAAGAGCATTTACCTTGTGAACTGACTGAGAGTCATTCCTGTTGCTGATTCTAGTTGGAAACTTAAGAACAGTGCCAGAATCTTGGCTGTGGGAGTCAAGAGACATCCTCGGTCACCAGACCTGTCTGGGCATGTGGGTGAGCTGCGGTGGAGAAGACAGTGGAAGGCAGTCACCCACGATGCTGCCAAGGAAACAGTGGGATTCCAGAAGACCAGAAGAGCCTTTGCTTATTTTCCATCAAAACCTAGTGCATATTTACTAAAACATTGGCTTGTAGCCTAGAAATTAAATTGCCTCTTTGTTTTGACCAGTGTATGGCCACATAATACAGAGGGTGCCAAAAAAATATATATATACACACATTTAAAAAAGGAAAAAACTATATTAAAATTGTAGATTAATACAAGTCACATTTGACTTCTGCAATGACAAGAGGTGCTTAATGTGGCTACCATCAGCATCCAGACACTTCTGATTATGGTGCATTAAAAGCAATATATAGATAACAGCTCTTAAAATGTGTATATATATTTTTTGGCACCCCTGCTAGAGGGGAAAAAACTCTCTAAATCTATTTTTCAAAGGACTTTCTGAAGGTAATTAGGATAAAATAAGGATGGGAAAGAGTGCATCAAATGGAAAAACAAATTTCAAAGGCAGTTTCAGTTAAAGGCCTTAAAATGTTCATTCCAGGGGTATTGCAGCAGAAGGGTGACCTCCATACCACCCTGGTCCCTGCTTCCATCTGCCTGCCTAGTTGTCACTGCTAGGGTGTCAAGCAGTGGCTCCAGAAGCACACTGACAGGCTAACCTCCCTCATGGTTCAGAAATGCTCAGGGAGAGACTCAAAAGGAAGACCTGGGCCCATGCCAGAAGGTCTGTTCTTCAGAGAATGTCAGGAAACAGCCACCTGGGAGTTTTCTCCTATGGCAGTGACTCTGTTAAACAGAGTCCTAACTTAATTCTTGACCAGCCTCATGTAGGACCATAAAAACCCAGTCCTCTTGGTCTTGCACTTATTATCCCCAGTTCTGCCCCAAATTAGTCAGCCAATGCTACATGTGAGAAGATCTTTTAAAAGATAAAAACTAGTTGAAGTTCAGTATGGAACTCTGAAGAATTATGAACTTCGAGCTCTCTTTGGTAAATAGGAAATACCATACCTCCAACTAGTTAGTAATCCACCCAGAACCTCTTCCAGACCAGCCAGTTTCCACATTGTTCTTCCTTGGACATCCTCGATTTCACAGATACCCAGGTAGGTGCTGCCTGAGAAGCCCAGGACTTGGACCAGTGCATTCTTTCCAGCAAATGCCATGAGCAGAGTGCTATCTAACTTAGAGATACTGGCATTCTTGATTCCCAAAAGAGTGAAACAAATACACTGGACTTTGGAAAGATGCTCTTTGGGAACACAAAGAAGTATCTTTTCCTACCACATATCACCTTTGTGGGTTTTAAAAAATAACATTTCCCTGTTCTGAACTTTCTTTTTTTGAGTTGGAGTCTCACTCTGTTGCCCAGACTGGAGTGCAGTGGCCGCCTGAACTATCTTAACATGTAAGTAAGCAGTGCTGAGTCTTTGAGGGAAAGAAAAGAATGGAAGAGTGAGCTTGCTAATTCCAGAAGGAACAGAAGAAGTCTGGGGAGGGCATAGGAGACAGGCAGGGGTGAAGGACGGCAGTGGGGACTTGTTCCCCGGGACGGCTCTGAGTGTGGTGAGGGAGGTGAGTGAGGACTGAGTGAAAAGGGGAGCCGAGAGCCAGAGGGAAGCAGTGTGGCCTGGCCAGCGCCTTGAGGGCAGAGGGGTTGGGGTGGGCTGGGTCTTCTAGAAACAGCCCAGGGTGGGTCGCCCCTGCCTTGGCGTCATGGAGGATTTGATCATTTCCAACCACTGGCCCCTCCTTCTTAGAAACATTGCATCTCTACAACCAGTCTTTGCCTTTAATCAGGGTTATATCATCTTACAATAACACTTTCCACTAACTCGAGCTGAATTCCAATCAACCTTCAGATCACCTTCAAAATCACTTTCATATCTTCACATGTGGAAACTGGTGCAAAGAGCTGTGAAGACTCACCAAAGGCCACCCAACTAGCTAGTGGCAGAACTGGAGTTTAGACCCAGGCAGTCTCACTTCCAGACCCTCGGCACTTCCTCCAGGTCCAGTTTCTAGTGAGCTGGTCCCTTCCCTTGGCTTCCCTAGAGCCTTCTCGGCAGTGAGGCGGGCCTCTGGAGAGGCAGAACACAACCCAGTGGGCTGAGCTTCTAGTGGGAGCCATCTGGTTGGAAGGATACGGAGATCCTCTCTCTCTATTGATATATAGATTACATATCTATTTGTCCTTCAGAATCTCATCCTGTGTTAGATAATTAATGAAATGAGATAATCCAGTAACGTCCTGACGAACAGCTTTCTCATGAAATAGGGCGTCCCTGCTCTATGGCCTGGGTGCTGGGGTGTGACTCTGCCCAACTCATAGGGCTCACTCCTGGCCAAGGCATCCCCTCTAGTTCATGTGGAAAGCAGGTAGATAGAAGATCACTGTTAAAGTGAGGGTTTGGGGCTTTCATTCTCAGTCGTGTGTTTCCATGAAAACAGGAACCAAAGTGTACAAAGCTATTGATACGGCCGTCATGTGTTTGTCAGAAAAAATGCACTATCAGCTGTCAAATCTATCTCCTCCCACTACAGATAGAGGGGCGGGGGTGAGACGGCACAGGAGGCAGAAAGACAAGATGCCCAAGTAGTCGGAGCAGGGATGTGCTGGACTCTGTTCAACTGGATGATTCTGGACCAGGCTGGAGGAGAGTTAGACGGGACAGAGCAAGCTGAGGGTCTTTGGACAGTCAGTCCCGAACCCAGTGGGCTGTAGGTGACCAGGCTGTGGAAGAGAAAGGGCTCTGGCGGTAGCTTTTCTGTTGCCATAGGAAGTCTTTTAGACAAAATGAAAGCTCTCTCAACTTGTAATCTCAATATCTGTTTTTGTGAGAGGATTGGGGTTTTCAGAAATGTATGGGACCAGAAAAATGCTCTCATTCTGCAGGCAGTTGAGTGCCTCCTATGATCCAGGTACTATGCCAAGGCTGGGTGAAACCCTAGAGAGTTTTTCCTTGACCGGGATCTGAATTAGGTGCCGACATCTAAGTTTTCTGTTGCACGTACTCTAAGTCAGGTGAAACCCGAAACACCAAAACATGCTTAAGAGTAAAGAGCAGATTTCTCATTCTTTGAAAACATTTAACACCTCAATTTGGGCCTATTCGTTTTCCATTAAACAAGTTTCTTGTTCAGACACCTGTGGATGGTCTCCCTCTCCCAAGTCACACATTTGCCAAAGCAGGCCACAGGAAAACTTCTTACCTTGGAGACAGCAAAGACATCTGCTACAGGCAACTCGGTGCATGGAGTCTTGACCCAGGCAGGAACGAGACAGCAAAAGACAGAGTTAATCTCCAACTGGCAGAGTTCTTGATAAGCATCTCTCACTCCCTCCAACTGAGAAAAGCTTTCTACAATCCCTCAGAAAAAGAATGTGTGTGTGGGGGGTCTCACTGTGCCCCCTGAGCTGCTGCTAGCCACTACTACCGACTTCTAGCAGTTGTTCTGTTCTTTTCATAGTCTAGAAATACCCACAGCAGCACCAGAACATCTGGAGAGATGGTGTCAGATAGGTACTTACCTTTCTCTCTGTGAGGATGTTCAAAGTTTTGATGATCTCGTTTAAGGTGATATCGCATTTGCCTCCATGGACGAAGTTGCTGGCACATGCTAGGAGGCAGAACAGAGGGGGAAGCAGTTGGGAGGTGAGACCCATTTACCGATCTCTATTCGCAGTGTCAAAGCGAGACAATTAGTTTATCAGGAGAAGCTAACAATGCATTTCTGACAACGATATCTCTATATATAGATTTAAAATTGCTGAAACCAAAGGAAAATGAGTTTACATTGGAAATTTTCATTACACCAGATTGTCAGTTGTTTGGGGCCAATCAGCACCTCTCTTCCAGGAGAAAAAATGCCTCACAGAGACAGGTAAAATGTTCCTGTGAAATCAGACCAATAGGAAAATGAAACCTTTTTAAAGAATTAACTACAAAGTTTCAGCATAGGAAATTACACCATAATTTGCTCTTTAGATTAATCTTATCAGCGTGGGGTTGCTGCTGGCTTTTTGCTTTGCATGGAAGGAAGAGGCCACAGGTGTCCGAATTTTTTTTAGTGCTGTCCTCCTGGGGAAAGATAGAGTAATATCAAGAAAGTTTGACTTGAAAAGTGTTTTAACCTGGCTCCTTCCAAGTACAGGTGGCATCTTGGAAACTTTCCTGTCGTGGAAAAGCTGATTTGGGGTTCTTTCTATATGTAGAAGGAGAACATTTTGCCTCTCCTGTCCTGGCACTGGGGCATGATGTTCTCCTAAGTTTAGGTCTTTAGAGGACCGATAAACCACTACATCAGGTGGGGCCTAGTTTGGGTCCCAGAAGATACATAAGGTCTTTACCCATAAAGAGTCCCTAGTCAAGGTGTGGCTCTCCCCAGCTTTCAAGCGTGCCACTCTTTATTCATTGCACCACTGGCCCGCTAGGAATGACCACTTTTTAAATGGAGCCTAAACACCTCCTCAGCTAGCTAGGAAAAAGAGCCACAGCCTTGCCAACTTACCAATCAATTCTCCTTGGCAATGCCCTGCCACCCACCATGCTATTCTCATCGAATTCATATGGACCTGGTTAGGTGCTCATTGCTTCACCCCAGCAGTGAACGTAAGGACCCCATCATTCACTCAGATGCCACGGGCCTGTGCACAACCCTCCCTACCCTCCAAGAAGGGCTGAACAGGTATCAGACTTCCTGGGTACTGGCATGCCCACTGCTTCCCTCCCAGAGCCTTCTTCTCCAAACCCCTTCCCTGGAAGTTCATCTAAAAATGTTTGTTGTTCAGGGTTTTCCTGTTTGGGCTCCCCCCACTTATTATTTTAAATAGACAAAAATGTGTAAATTTATGGTATATGACATATTGTTTTGAAATATGTATGCATTGTGGAATTGCCAAATCAAACTAGTTGGCATCTATGGTACTTCACATTCTTATTTATTTGTGGTGAGAATACTTAAACTCTATTCTCTTAGCGATTTTTACAATACATTATCAACAGTAGTCCTCATGTTATACAGTGGATCTCTTGAGCTTATTCCTCCTGTCTAATTGACCAACATCTCCCCACTCTTCACCCTCCCAGCCCTGGTAACCATTATTCTACTCTCTACTCTTAAATGGTTAACTTTTTTAGATTGTACACATACATGAGATTACACAGTACTTGTCTTTCTGTGCTTGGCTTATTTCACTGAGCATAATATCCTCTGGGTTCATTCATGTTGTTGCAAATGACAGGATTCCTTACTCTTTTTTTCCCCCCTCACTCTGCCACCTGGTCTGGAGTGCAGTGGCACAGTCATGGCTCACTGTAGCCTCCAACTTCTGGGCTAAAGTGATTCTCCCAATTAAGCCTCCTGAGTAGCTGGGACTACAGGTGCACACCACCACACCTGAGTAATTTTTTTTACATTTGTAGAGACAAGGTCTTGCTATGTTGCCCATGTTGGTCTTGAACTCCTGACCTCAAGAAGTCCTCCTACCAGGCTGGGCGTGGTGGCTTAAGCCTATAATCTTAGCACTTTGGGAGGCTGAAGCAAGAGGATTACCTGAGCCCAGGGGTACAAGACCAGCCTGGGCAGCTTGGCGAGACCTCATCTCTACAATAAATCAAAAAATTAGCTGGGTGTGGTAGTGCGTGCCTGTAGTTCCAGCTACTTGGAAGGCTGAGGAGGAACCATCGCCTGAGCCCTGAAGGTTGAGGCTGTGGTGGCCATGAGCGTGCCACTGCACTCCAGTCTGGGTGACAGTGTGAGACTCTGACTCAGAAAAAAAAAGAAAGCCTCCTGCCTCAGCCTCCCAAAGTGCTGGGATAACAGGCATGAGTCACCGTACCTGGTGATTTCCTTATTTTTGAAAGCTGAATAGTACTCCATCGTGTGTATATATAGCTTTGGCTCTTACCACTGTGCCTCAGACTCTGTGAAGGAGAGAATCTGCATAATTGCATTAGGAAGGACCTTAGACCATATTTCGGATCCTTCCCTTGGGACTGTGCAGCAAGGTTGCCAAACTCCATGCGGTGACCTCTGACACCAAACTACCTGGAATTGAGCCAAATCTCACAAGGTAAGAGCACAGTGCTCCACACACTTCCCTCACTTCAGACACCAACTGCAAATTCAGGGTTCCTCAAGTTCACCCTCACTGCTGATGAAATGGCTGCAAATTTGAGAGCTCCCACTACCCCTCAGGTTCTGTAATTCACTAGGTTGAATCACAGAACTCAGGAAAGTGCTACATGTAAGGTCACATTTTTATTATAGAAAAAGGATCCAAATTAGAACCAGCCAAAACAAGAGATACAGAGGATGAGATCTAGGAGAGTCCCAAACATGAAGCTTCCATTCTTCCCCCTGAGGATGTCACCCTCTCAGCACCTTGAAGTATGGCAAAATGCAGAGTATTTCTTTTTTTTTTTTTTTTTTTGAGTTGGAGTCTCACTCTGTCGCCCAGACTGGAGTGCAGTGGCCGACTGCAGCCTCGCCTGATGGGCTCCGGCAATCCTTCCGCCTCAGTCTTCCGAGTAGCCGGAATTACAGGCACGTGCTACCACGCCTGGCTGATTTTTTGATTTATTGTAGAGATGAGGTCTCACTGCCCAGGCGGATCTCGAACCCGCGGCCTCAGGCAATCCACTCACCTCAGCCTCCCAAAGGCACGGGATTACAGGCTGAGCCACCGAGCCTGGCTATTGCAGAGTATTTCAAAGCAAGGAGGCTCACCTGAGCTTTCATGTCCAGAGTTTTTATTGGACTTTCATCACATAGGCACATTGATTGAATCATTGCATCTTGAACTCATCCTTCAGGCCTCCTTCCAGGAGGCTAGACTGATACCACAGTGTTCAGTGAGTGGCCAGTCCTCAGCCTGAGTGATCCTATCAGCAAAAACTATCTAGTGGCCCACCATGAATCACTTCACTATCATAAACTACCAGGGCCCACCATGAATAACAAAGAGACTCATATCTCTTGGGAAATCCCTAGGAATCTGGGGTTACCTCACAGGAACTGGTGACATAGACCAGCTAAATTTTTTATTCCAGGGTATGTGGCCAGATGGACCACCCAAGAGCTAAGACAAAGGCTCTGGGTAAAGTTGATTCTTCACTACACAGACCAGGAGAGAGTTTATGGAGTTGCTTCCGGGACAGGTGGGGCCCCAAATCAGGATTAACTATTATGTGGGATAAAGTGGAGCAGAATCTCCAGTTAAAACAGGAGTGAGCTTGTTGAGAGAGCAGACACGTGGGAGTTCTTCTGCCACATGGGTTCCCGAGGAGAATCAGGAACACAGAGGGAGAGCTGGAGGGAAGGGCAGGTTCTGGAGTGTCTGGAAGGCAAAGGATCAGCCATTTATGTGTTCAGCAGGTGTGTTTCTGAGCACCTGCTTGGGGCCAGACCTTGGGCTTGAGGCTCTTGGGACAAAGATGGTGAGTCAGAAAAGGAATGTTATATGGGAACCTTTAGCTCAGAAGCAGAAGGCAGCTTGTCTTGTTTGTTTCAGTGGTTGAATGCGGCCATGGAAAAAAGGATAAGCTTTGCAGAACATCAGGAGGGACCAGAAGATCTCCTCAAAGGGCAGAAGGAGAAGATGGGTTGTCCTCTCCTGCAGTGAGAGCACCATGGTGGCTACAGGTGTGGTTGGCCGGACAGAGGTCAGGAAGATGGGTGTCTGCACTGTCAGGGACAAAGAGGAGGGCAGCAGCCACTACCACCATGAAAGAACCTCCAAGCCTGCAGGAATCGTGGACAGGGCCTGGGGGTGGGGTGGTCAGTGGCTTGGCAGGGCAGGCACCAACATCCAGGAGGGAAGTTGAAGACTGCCAGGCTCTGGCTATGTCCATCCCAGACCCCTTACCCTGAGAGCTGAGAACCAGCAGCTGCCCCTTCGCGGCTGCAGTTTTCCTTCCAAGCCCCGGAACCTAGCAGTTATGAGCACTGGGTTTTGGAGTCCAGCAAACAAGACATTCTGTGACTGTGGGCAGATCACTAACTCCAGGTCTCAGTTTCTTTATCTGTGAAATGGGAATGATGTTGCTCTTCCTTGTTGGATTCCTGTGAGGAGCAAGTGAGAAATTCCATGGAAAATACTTGCCACGTGTCATCCATGAAGGATGTCTATCACAAGAGGCTGCCACAGCACACAGTGCTTGAGTGTAGACTCTGGGCCCAGGTAGCCTGTCAGGCCTGGCTGCTCTGCTTCCTGGCTACATGATCTTGGAGCACTCAGCCTCATCTGTAAAATGATGGTTGTACCTGTCTAGTGAGGTTGTTCTGAGGAATAAAGTTTTAAATTACTTAGAATAGGCTGAGGTGAGTAGATTGCCTGAGCCCGTGGGTTCGAGACCCGCCTGGACAGGCGAGACCTCATCTCTACAATAAATCAAAAAATCAGCCGGGCGTGGTGGCGCATGCCTGTAATTCCGGCTACTCGGAAGGCTGAGGCGGAAGGATCGCCGGAGCCCAGCAGGTCGAGGCTGTGGTGGCCGGGAGCGGTCACTGCATTCCAGTCTGGGCGACAGAGTGAGACTCCAACTCAAAAAAATAAAATAAAATAAAATAAATTACTTAGAATAGTGCCTGATGCATAGTGGGTGCTGTGTAAGTGACAGCACTATTATTATTATTATCAATCACTGTTAATCATATCTTTGGTTGGTCGAATGACTGGAATCCTTAATCTATTAGGAAAACCCACGTCTGGACAGGGCAGTGGAAGC